ATCCTGTCTCAAAAACTAAACCATCCAACCAAAATAAACAAAACACCCAACAAATCAAACAACCACCAAACAACCGACTAACAAAACCAAGAACTCAAGCCTTCCCCTCCTTATGCCAATTACTCGGCTGGTTTGAGTTTCCAGTTCTCTTCCTAGTTTTATTGCTTGGTCCAGTCTGTGGCTCTGGTGAGGTATGTACTCTGACTTTGTTCTTTTTTTTTTTTTTTTTTTTTTTTTTTTTTGGTTTTTCGAGACAGGGTTTCTCTATGTAGTCCTGGCTGTCCTGGGACTCACTCTGTAGACCAGGCTGGCCTTGAACTCAGAAATCCACCTGCCTCTGCCTCCCAAGTGCTGGGATTAAAGGCGTGCGCCACCACCGCCCGGCCTGACTTTGTTCTTGTAGGACAAGCAGTGAAGCTTCTCTTTTAGAGCTGGGGCTGAAGAGGAGAAAGTATTTTCATTCAGTTTTGCTTTTATGCTAGCCGGAAGTGGTGGTGTTTGCCATTAATCCCATCATCAGAATCAGAGGCAGGAGGATCTCTAGTGAGCTGGGCAAGCTGAATCTACATAACTAATTCCAGGATAGCCAGGGCTATAGAGAGACAGAGACCCTGTCTCAAAACAACAACAAAAATAAATAATAAATAAATAAAAATAAAACCACCCCCTTTCTGGCTTCCTTCTGTACCAGACATCCACATAGTAACTAGAATCTAAGTCACAATTTGGAGCAAGATAGAACCACATATGTTTCTCTGTGAAGATGACATGACACAGTCCTTACGATTGGTGCATTTAGTTGTCACAGACTATGTCTTGCTTTTATTTTTGTTCCTATTCAATATTTACTATTTTTTTTTAGCTTTATATTTAACCCATACATGGAAACATAAAAAGTGTACCTTGAGACATTTTGATACATTTACACAGTATGTAATGTCTAAATCAATCTAAAAGGGGTCTCCTTAAACATTAATTTTGTCCTTATGGTAAAAACATTCAAAATCCTTTCTAGAGGCCTATGCGTCCCTAACTAGCTTTGAATTCCCTGTGTAGCTTAGGTTGGCCTGGAACGTGAGATTATTGTGAGAGAAACCCTTGCTCCTATATTTTCTTAAAATATCTTGTTGGGAGGCAAAGGCAGGAGGATCTCTGAGTTCAAGGCCAGGCAGGTCTACAGATCGAGTTCCAAGACAACCAGGGCTACAAAAGAGAAAACCTTGTCTTGAAAACCAAAGATAAACCAACAAGCAAAACAAAACAAAACAAAACAAAAAACAAAACAAAAAAAACCCTCATGGAATTATTTTCCTAGGAATGTGTTATTTGGGACAATTAGGAACTCCTGGAGCTGTGTTTTGTGTTGACCAAGTAACAATGTTATTATGTATTGACTAATGCTGTATGAAGGGAAGAGACACGTAAAGAATGGGGAGGGGTGGGGGGAAAAGACAAACAGCAGAATAAGAACAAGCAAGTAAGATGGGTGGGTGTGGATGGTGGAATGCCAGGCGTGGTGGTACACACCTTTACTCCTACCAGTCAGAAGCAGGGATATGAGGATCTCTGAGTTCAAGGCCAGCCTGGTCTACAAAGGGAATCCCAGGATAGCTGGGGACTACATGAAAGACCCAGTTTCAAAAAAACAAAACAACAACAATAACAACAAAAAGAAATGTTACAGCCGGGCGGTGGTGGCGCACGCCTTTATTCCCAGCACTTGGGAGGCAGAGGCAGGTGCATCTCTGAGTTCGAGGCTAGCCTGGTCTACAGAGTGAGGTCCAGGACAGCCAGGGCTACACAAAGAAACCCTGTCTCGAAAAACAAAACAAAACAAAAAAGTGTTATCATTTGCAGCAGCATGGATGGAAGTTGGGAGGAGAGTGGTGGTTGCCTGAGTCTGGGATGAGAAAGGCTGCAGGATGTAGGAATGAGGTACAGTTAGACAGAAGCCAGAGGGCTGGGAAGACCAGAGGGCTGTGGATAAGGTTCTTGCCCATTCAGATGTCGTAACTGGAGTTCAGATCCCTAGAACCTACATAAAAGCTGGGTGAGACATGGTAGCCCATCTGGAGTCCCAGCTCTTGGAAGCAGAGATAGAATTCCCAAGGCAGAGTGGCTAGCTAGACTATTGGAAAGACCTAGCTCCAGGTTCCATGGGAATCAAGTGGAGAGTGGATAATCTCTGGCCTTCTCACCCATATGCACACATGTGCATGTGCAACTAGACACACACATGAAAACACACTCAAGCATACACCACATATACCCATGCACATTTTATACACATTTGCATTATAGACACTTGGTTTTTGGAGATAGAGTTTCTCTATATAGTCCTGGATATCCTAGAACTCAAACCAGGCTGGCCTCAAACTCACAGAGATCCACCTGCTTCTACCTCCCAAGTGCTGGGACTAAAGGCTTGTGACACCACTGTCTGCCCATTTTTTTTTTTTTTCAGAGAGTCTTAGCCTGGCAGCATTGGTGGCACATGCCTTTAATCCGAGCATGGGGAAGGCAGTAGGAGGTCAGCTTGGTCTACAGAGTAAGTTCCAGGACACCAACTCACAGTGATCTGTCTACCTCTTCCTCCAGTGTGCTTCAATTAAAGGTGTGAACCACCAAGCCTGCTTCTGTTAAGTTTTCTGAGAACTCTAGTACATGTGATATTATGACTGTGCACCTTTTTTGTGGAAATATAAGAATTCTTTTGTTGGTTTTTATTTTGAAAAGTGGTTTGCGGAAGACTGTCTTCTGAAAATAGATAGTTTAAAGAAAAGCTATCCAAACCATGTTTCACTCTGCCCCACCTCCAGCCCGACCCCCCCCCCCCCAGTCTCACTATATGGCTCTCGCTGTCCTGGAATCCACTATGTAGACCAGGCTCACAGAGATGCTCACAGAGATGGGAGTAAAGGCTAACCCAACATGTTTCATTTCAAAGAGCAAGCTTTTGAGCCTCCTGAAGTGGGAGAGAAAACTCCCACTTTGGTTATCATGGTGACAAGACATGACAATTGGTGACAAAATAGGTGAACGTATAGAATGAGAGGCAAAAGAAATGTTTTCTTTTATATCCTGTTATATACAGGCTCTGCAACATAGGGAGACAAATTCCATTTACGTTCTTGAGGTTACAGAGGAAGGGGAGCCTGCAAACCTCCAGGGAAAAGGGGTTAGTGGAGGATTTAATCATATCGAGTCCATTATCACTCGATAATGCATGAAAAGAAAAATATTGGTATTCTCTTTGGTGTTGACTTCATTGTTTCAGTTAGTTAGTATAAAATTATTTGCAGTTCCATAGGAAAAAATTAGTACTGAATTGCATTTCCTAAACTTTTTTTTTTTTCTGTCACAAAGGTATCAAATTTTCACCCCAGGCTGCCCCAGGCTGCCCCAGGCTCCTTCTGCATCCTAGATGTAGTAGTAGCATGGCTTGTAATCCCAGCACTCGGGAGATGTAGGCTGGAGGATCAGAAATTCAAGACCAGCCTGGGCTACATGAGACCCAGTCGTTAAGAAAAAAATCTTTTTTTTTTCCCATAAGATGGTTTGGTGGAGTAAATTACCTAAGTTTGATCCTCAGGCTGCACAAGATGAGAGGAAACCAACTTCCAAACATTGTCCTCTGACCTCATGAGCACCCAGGTTCATAACCACACACACACCCCCACACACACCCACCCACCCACACACACACACTAAAAATAGAATAAAAAATTTAAGTGAAACAGAAAGCTATGGATTGCAGACAGGGCACCACACACTGTTGTGTGTGTCTGTGCTTCTCTTACAGGGGCTCAGGCTATTGCCTGAATCAATATTTCTTCATCTTCTTCTTCTTCCTCTTCTTTTTCTTTCTCCTCCCCCTCCTTCTTTTTTGTTCTTTTAAGACAGGGTTTCTCTGTGTATCCCTGGCTGTCCTGGAACTTTTTATGTAGACCAGGCTGGCCTGGAACTAAGATATGTGCCTGGCTCTGCCTTTCACTGGAATTAAGGCGTGTGCCACCACAACCTGCTTAGGATCTGAATTTCAGAGACCCCTCAATGGCTGGCCCATGTCTATCTTCTGCCAATGTGCACTGGCTTTATATATATTTTCCGGAATAGTACGATTTGGACACAGTAGGTTGTAAAGGGACTAGCAGTTAGTAAATCCCAAATACTTGCTGAATTTTAGAGCAGATAGGCCAAAGGCCAAATTGGTGGCTAGGGAAGTAGATTAGTACTTTAAAAGACATTTTTCAGGGTCACTAAGGGGTCCACTCGGGAGTGTTTTACCTATAGTCCTTTTGTGGTCTATGATCACTCTCTTTGTAGTTATTTGTAAACTTACCTCAGGCTGGACAGTAAAGTACAGATAGGAAGAAAAGGGTGTGAACGTTTGCAGTTTTAACTGAACTCCTTTTATTTGCTATGCATTGCAACAACCCTCTGAAAGCAATAATGGCGATAAACATGCAAGTTAATCTACAACTTTATCACCCTAGTAAGTCATTGCTTTCTATTTTCCCTTCCACAGGCTGAACTCAGTAAGCACTGGGAGCTCTTTGCTTGGCTCAAGCGCTGCTTGTTAAAATCCAAAAAAAAAATTTGCAGTTTTGCTTTAAGGTTTTTCCCTTTTTAAAGCATTTCTGAGGCTGCGAAAACTAGTCTTTACGACATGGTTTTAGTGGAGACCTAAGCCTGGAAGCAGGAATATTTTAGAGTAAAGGCTGATACTTCTGAACTTGCACGTCAGGGTTGGGTGTCGGTCAAGGTTAGGCGGAGGGCGACGGGCCAACTACAAAGACACCGCGGGGGAGGGAAGCGGTGGAGAAAGAAAGCCATCAGCCAATCGCAGGCGCTCTCCCGACACCTGCCGCCTTGGCGCCTTTTCTCTCCTACTCTGCGCACGCACTGGCTGCGCGCGCATCTCGCCTCCAGCGGTCTTGCTAGAGCACCCGGGTAGGTGTACGTGCGGCAGGAAGTGACGTAAGCTCCGGAGGCCCGGCCGGGGGCGGGGCCTGGCTATAAGCTTCGGGTCCGCCGCTGCGCTCCCTTCGGAAGGCGTGTGCCGCGCGGACTCCTGCATTGCGGTCCGAGGAGGCGCTTTAGAGTGAGTGGCTCGCCTGTCAGTGGCACGGCCCATCGTGTTCCTCGCGTGGCGGGAGGACTAGAGCGAGTTGGCCAGGGCCGGCGTGGGCAGGCAGGGAGGCAGCGGGGTGCTGAGGAGCGCGGGCTGCGGAGCGCGGGTTGCAGGTGCAGCGGAGTGGGTGGGGGGCCGCTGTACCCTGTGCCCCTCGCGTCCTCCGGGCCTTCGAGCCGGTCCTAGGCCGCGGGTTCGAGAGTCACCACGCTAAGGCGCACGCTTGTTCCGCCGGGGACACGTGGTGGCTGCTGGAGGAAGTCGCTCCAGGGAACGGCTGTCGGGGTACGTGGGTGACCTTGGGGCCCCTCGCAGGAGGGCGTCACAGCCGAAAAGGACAAAGCTGTTTTCTATTCCGTTACTGGTGTCATGGACATTTGCGGGGGGAAGTGGGATTCCCAAGAACCGCACGTTGGAGTTTCGGCAGCACCTGGTCCTTTTGGCCAGGCTCTGCCTCTTGGCCCAGCGTGTGGAATCTCATTTTTCCAGGGGAGAATAGGTCTGAACGCTGCAGGTAATACTAAGATAGGAGAACATAGAAATACGACCTCTTTGCAAGAGCTGTTTAGAGCTAGCTGTAGAAACCAGCGTGCTCATGGTGTTGGACAGCTCTCTAAAATGGTGTTTGAGAGAAAGAAAACCGTATTTGCAAACTTTCAGTTGACACACTTTGTCCCGTGCTTAAAATGAAATAAGCTCGTTATACTTACCCAGAGGAGTGGGCTGGATTGCTGTTGTTTCTTTGCTATTTTTTTTTAAAAAATAGGATTGAAATGGGAAATAGGTGTGTTACAGAAATTCTCAGCTACCTGATACCTCTAAGATTAGATGAGTTTAGAACACTAGCTGGCTAATGCGGTTGGCTCTTAGCTGTGAAATATGACCTATTTGACAAAGACATTTAAGCTGATTCAGGACCTTATCTACAAAGAAAAAGGGATTTAGCTTGTGTGAGTCCTCCTGCATTTGTTTTCTGTTAAGGATTATAATAAACTGCTTTATACAGGAATCCAATATCAGCTGTTTTTTCCCAAAGGGATATATACATAATACTTTGAGAGGGGATTGTTGTCAAGGAATGGTGGCTGTGAACCTAGCCTTTATTGACTGGATAGATCTGTCTGCCTAACTCCACCCTAAGGCTAAGTAGTTATATGCTAGTGGCAGTGTGCTTATCTATAATGGGGGCAGGTAAATTTGAATTAGACAACAATGACAGTTACTTAAATGAACCTCAAGCCTTGGGTCTATTGTGTAGGTTTCTTCTCTCCCAGATGAGTGCCATGCAAAATAAACTTCAGTGACCTCAAGTGTTTCTGACCTTTTTGTTGCTTTTCAGAAAATTGTATGGAAATGAAAACCTGCTACCTTTTATTTCCCCTTGCTTTTTCAATTTCCCAAAGAAGGTACCCACTATGAATTCATGGGTAGCCTTGAACTAAGATCCAACTGCTTCTGCTTGGATAGTGATAGGATTAAAGGGATGTGCCACCACACCCAGCAAAGTTAGGCTCTTAAAACTAAGACCTTAACAGTCGGGCACGGTGCCAGACACCTTTGATCCCAGCACTGGGACAAGGCAGAGCCAGGTGGAACACTGAGTTTGAGGTCAGCTAGTGCTGGAGAGTAAGAACCTGTCTTTACATCTCAACAAGTCATTCTAAGTCTATACAATCATAAATTGTATAACTTGGGAGAGAAGTCAAAGATCTCATAGTTGGTCCGTGAGCTAAGACTGCAGTAGTAAAGAAGTAGGACTTAGAAGAACAGGAAGACTTGTAAAAGTTAGGGCTAGATACCATCTAATTTTGAAGATCTAGATGGGGTCCTCAGTCAGGAACTTCATTTTGTGTGCACTCAGGATTTAAAAGTGACTTGTTACCTAATGAAATCTGCTTGTTTGAACCATTGCATAGCTTTTTTTTTTTTTTTTTTTTTTTTTTTTGGTTTTTTCGAGACAGGGTTTCTCTGTGTAGCCCTGGCTGTCCTGGAACTCACTCTGTAGACCAGGCTGGCCTCAAACTCAGAAATCCATCTGCCTCTGCCTCCCAAGTGCTGGGATTAAAGGCATACGCCACCATTGCCCGGCACATGGCTTATTTTTTAATGAAAAAATTAAATTGATAATTGTTGTCTAATTCAAATTTACTACATGGCTAGTATCATTGCTTATCTTCCAGCTTACAGCTCAAAGTTAAGGTCAAAGATCAAAAGAACTATGTTACTATCTTTTTATCTTATTTTTATTTATCTTAATTTTTATTAGAATGAATAGTTTTCCTAATGCTTGGTAATATCAAAGATGTATAAGTATATGTGAGAAATCAAGATTAACTTTCTCTTGTCAAAGTTTGTTGACAACATTGGTGACATCTTGGGGTAATAAACCAAATGAAAATTGTTTTATTTTTGGATGTAGCCCATTATCAGCTACCAGTTAAACTGTTTTTTTTTTGTTTGTTTGTTTGTTTTTCGAGACAGGGTTTCTCTGTGTAGTCCTGGCTGTCCTGGAACTCACTCTGTAGACCAGGCTAGCCTCGCACTCTCGAACTCAGAAATCCGCCTGCCTCTGCCTCCCAAGTGCTGGGATT